AAAAAAAAATGGTTACAATAGATATATAGTTACATTCTCTTAATGAATAGAGGGATTTGTTCTGATAGTGTTTGTAAATAGGACATCATGTCCGCATCTTGTACAGCAATTAACCACTAGAAAGAATGTATGCAATGTGTTAATTATTGAAACTGTCCTACCAATTCGGTTTGAAACAGTCTCATCGCTATTTGTTTCTCAATAAAATTGTGGGGCAAAGAAAAAAAGAATGGCTATCATCAAGAAACCAACCAGTAACAAATGCTGGCAAGGCGGTGGGAAAAATAATAATCTCCACTGTTGGTGGGAATGAAGACTGGTGCAACCATTGTGGAAATCAGAGCGGAAATTTCTCAAAAAACTAAAACTAGAGGTTCCATTTGATACATCTGTTCTCTTTCTTGGTATCTTCTCAAAAGACTGAGAAGCACCATCCACAGTGATATACACATCCATGTGTACAGCAGCACAGGAACAGCTAAATCCTGGTAACGGCCAAATGCCCATCAATCGACAAACACATAATGATCATGTCGGCTTTTTTATACAGTGGAGTGCTACTCTGCCATAATGAAGGATGAGCTTTAGACGCTTCTCATTACATAGATGCACACCAAGACCATACTTCTAAGTGAAATAAATGACACACATTTGTAAATACCATGTTTGAGTTTCTCTGGTGTAAGAAACTGAAAATGTAAATAAGGACCAAAATGTGTAATAAATTTTGGGTAATGGGAAGAAAATATTCAAAAGAGAAGGGGACCAAGGGTGGGGGAAGGGGAATGGAAAGAAGGGAAAAGAAAAAGAAAAAAATAGAAACAAAGCTTTGTAAATAAATAACTTCCCTCACTACTGAAATGACTTACTTATATGAGTCATAGAAATGGCAAGACAAGGTCCCTGAAAAAAAAAAAAAAAGACAAATCTTTATTTTCCTTTATCACTTTATAAAATAATAAATTGGTTTCCCATCACCTTCCAAAAGTGAGCACTTTTTAAAAAAATACATCAGCATGAAATCTTGGATTTAAATATATTTAAAAGATTTCAATCAACCTGACAAGTCTTTGACAGTATCTTTCCTGCTTAATACATTTCAGGGTTAATCTTTTACATTTGATGCCTTAGATTTGAAATCTGCTTTTTCTCCATAAAGGCTGCA